TATTGTTTACCATATTTGGACCTTCCACTTCTCTATAGATACTTCCAGGGCAAATGTTCCTCGGAAATCTTCAGTATAATTCCATCACTAGCAATAATACCAGTCAAACGAACTCGACAGTCCCAATCAGCACATCCCTTCGTCGTTATTCTTGACAAATGTAAAACAAACAACACTACCAAAACTCGTTCGTTAAATTTTCATATGATATAGATAGAAGATTGAACATCGGAATACGAAGGTTTTGTATTATAATACGTATTACGTTTTTGGAATATTTACTGGCTCTGCCGTACTTCCGGTTTGACTGCAAATTACACAACATTCGATTTTTGAATAGGACATCATAATATTTTCAATTATTTTGATCGAGAATAACACTGAATATTTGACAAATTGAGAAATGTTCATTTCAATTTTTATTTTTTGATCTAGAATGCCATGGATCGTGTGAAACGCTTCATTTCAGATCAATTACAAAATACGACTTTGTGTTTCATGACTTCACAGTCGTTTCGAGAAATATTTAAAAATCCCAAATATTAATTTTTTCTTTCAACTTGATTTTTTCGAATGGAAGCTTTTCTGAAAGATCACTTTCTCACGAATGATTTGAATGTCATTCTCGATCGAAAAAAGTATAAATATAAAAGATGTCCCATTCATAAATTCATTGTTTGGGTGATTTTTGGTCAAACGGAAAGTGAGAGAAAGCAAATCAATATGTCAAAAAATTTGAATCATTCACTAATATTATAAAGATAAGAGATTTGTTTGAAAAGACGCCAAAACTGCTGCACCGATTTGACTGACAATTGGTGAGGAAGTAGCTTAGAACCAGGAGACGGTTATAGGATACTTTTTATCCCGGTACTATCAGGAAATTCAAGATGGCGGATCCAATATGGCGGACGATTTTGATTCGATTCCATTCAAAATTGGTATTTGGGAGTTTTCAGGGTTGGAGATTGTAATTATTTCTTCGAAATTTGGGAATTCAAGATGGCGGATCCCATATGGTGGACGATTCTCGTGATATTAAGGTCCGATTCTATTCAAAATTCCTATCTCTCCAATGTAGCGGAAGAGAGTTTTGTAATTATAATCTGATTCAATTCCAAATTGGTATCTAGAGATTTTTGGGATTGGGGATCATTATTCGATCGTCAAAATTGGGAAATTCAAGATGGCAGATCCAACATGGCATAGGAGTTTTATTACTATGATTCGATTCTATTCAAAACTGGTGTCTGAGGGTTTTCGGGGTCGGAGATTATGGATCTTTCGTCAAAATTAGGATATTCAGGATGGCTCATCCAATGTGGCTTCCATAGATAGCCAAACTGAAATGGAGTTGAAAACAAAATAATAATGGTGTGTTGATGAATATTCAACTGGAAAAATATTTTCTAGATATGTATAATATAGTAATATTATGAAGAGAAAATATTTGTTCGTTTGTTCGAATTGAATATGCTCCGAAACTACTGGACCAATATGAAAAATTCTTCCACTACTGCAAGCCGACATTATCCTTGATAAACAAAGGCTACTTTTTACAGTGAGGAAATGCTTTTTTCCTACGGGAAAACGGATAATAGGGCTATGAATCAAGATAACGAATATAAGGGATTTCAAAGTTTAAAATTGCTTGAACTGTCTTCAAAATTGCAAAATATATGGGAATGAGTCACCTCTCTGATAGCACACAACGTCCTTGGGACGTCCCTATTTGGTACAATTCAAGTCCGAATGGCCCGGACCGAAAATAAGTGTCCTTGGGACGTCCCATCTCGTACATCTCATGCAATGTCCGAGCAAGGAGGTCCAGCAGGTACATCATTTCAAATGTCCTAGAAATAGCATCCCTTAGACATCCCACGTGGTACATATTGTAGAATGTCCATGCAAGTACGTCCTTGGCATGTCCCTGATGGGATGTGATTTTAAACGTTCCTTCAGGGACATCCATCGGATGTTCCGAGTAGTAACTACATATTCTGACATGACTTCAGATCTTATATGATGTCCCTTCTAGACAACCATGGAATGTCCCTGATGGTACATTCCTTCAGATATCTCTGCACAGACGCCCTTAATATCTCCAGGATCGTATAACAATCGGAATGTCTCTTAGGGACATTCTTCGAATGCCCTTTAGGGATATCCGTCAGATGTCCCAATCGGTACATGAACTGTACTCTTCCAATGTCCTAGAAATCACGTTCTACAGAGGTCCCAATCAGTACTTTCAATATGTTGTCCCTGCGAGGACGTTAACTTACACCTCGCCGACGAATGATTGCTCGTAGGCTGAAATACTCCCTGTCAATGTCCTTCACGTAAGTCCATTGGACATCCTTGGGAAACTTTTTCAGGATTCATTGGGAACCTTCTACGGACCATCAACTCAACTGGATGTCCTCATCAGTTATGCAAGATCTTGTCCTAGAGGAACCCAGAAAAATTCAAATTCAAGAATGATTCGTACGTCTCTGGACATTCAATTGTCCTAATACAATATCCTGAGGATGTCCTCCGTAGTGCTTGATGAGGAATACTGTAGGATTTAGGTATACGATAGTTGTCACAGGGACATCCCTCAAGGACGTCCCTAGTTGGTCCTCAAGTGGGACATTTGTGCGTCCCACAGACGTCCACGGTACCAACTTCGAACGTTCTATGGACGTCCTGAATGTCCCGACAGGACGTCCTAAGGAAATCCATAGGACAATACGGCTTTCGCCACCGAAGATCTACTGGAGATCTACTTGCCTACGTCACCCATTTATGGCAATCTTCAATAGAAAAACACGGGGAATCTCTAGCTGTCGCCTTGGACATTTCGAAAGCATTCGACCGTGTTTGGCACGAAGGACTCCTCCACAAACTACCATCATATGGCTTACCACCTCAGCTATGCCATCTCTTATCGAGTTTTCTTTCAGGCAGATCGCTTCACGTGGTGGTGGACGGTGTATCGTCTGATACCTTTGGCATCAATTCCGGCGTTCCACAAGGATCAATTTTGGCACCAACATTATTCCTGCTTCATATCAATGATCTGTTGGGAGTAACAACTTGCCCCATCCACTGCTTTGCAGATGATAGTACCCTCCATACTGCGTTCTCTTCTAGAATTCCCATTTCTTCCCAGGAAACTAAGAACTCACGGCGCAGGCAGGTCAATGCTGTCAATGAAGATCTTGCTGAAATCACAGCCTGGGGAACAAACAACCTAGTTGAATTCAACGCCACCAAAACTCAAGCCTGCATTTTCTCTAGAAAGGCGGAACTCAGTATGCCCGATATTGTAATGTCTGGCTCCACCATCCCCACCAAGCCCACCATATCTATGCTCGGTATTTCCATCAGCAACACTCTTTCATGGGATAATCATGTCAGATCCATCGCAAAAGCTGCTTCACAAAAACTCGGATTCTTGTTCCGTGCGAAAAGCTACTTTACACCTCAACAGCTTCTCATGATCTACAAAGCGCAGATACGGCCTGTTCTAGAATACTGTTCCCACATATGGGGTTCAGCACCAAAACATACACTGATGCTCTTAGATTCCATCCAGAGAAGAGCCATTCGCCTGGTGGGTGACGCCACACTCACTCACTCTTTGACATCATTGGAACATCGTAGAAAGGTCGGCGACCTTTCACTTTTCTATCGATACTTCCACGGGAAATGTTCTTCGGAAATCTCTGCTATCATCCCTTCACTAGCAATACCAATCAGACGAACTAGACAAGCCCAGTCAGCACATCCTTTCGTTGTCAACCTAGAAAGATGTCGAACAGCACTTTATCAAGACTCCTTCATCCATAGAACGGCTAGGCTCTGGAATTCATTGCCTGTGGAAGTATTCCCAACAACATATAATCTCCAAAAGTTCAAAAAAAATTCCAATACCTACCTCCTGTCCCTATCCTCCCAAGGAACGCACGATGTTCTTTGAACATTATAGGGATTCCCTTTCGTGCGCTCCAAGCGATAAAAAAAAAAAAAAAAACATAATTGTGTTATTAGGGCTTGGAGAGTAACCCAATAATTTTCAGTTCATTATATTTCCTATAAATAAACTATAAATCTTGATAACGAATATGAATGGATTCAAAGTTCATAATTTCCATGTTTGACTGAAAAATCACTAGCTTTTTTATTTTTTCTAAAACATCGTAATTGTTTGCAACTCTCAAAATCCTTTCGCAGTTGTACGGCCTCTATTTGGTGAAGCTGGCCATGGCCGTGGTGTTGGCCGGCGGCGGCCAGTCTGCGCCTGCGCAGGCCACCGGCGAATCGACTTCGGCCGCCTTCCGCACCCGATCTGAATCCCATTTGCTGTTGGTCGGAGATCCGGGCACAGGCAAGTCGCAGCTGCTCAGGTTAGTTCAGCTAAATCGTTGGTTTCCATCGTTACCAATAATGCGGTGATTTTGTATCATTTGCGAGAAAAAATGAGGGAGATCCAATCTGTCGTTGCAACAAGTTTTCATGATAAAACATATACAGTGCGTCTATAAAGTAACCCATAAATTTATTATTGGCTGAATGAAGAATAAAATTAGAAATTCCCGAAACAGGTCGATTTTTGATTTCAATTCACTATTGTTTCAAATCATAATCTAATATACAGGGTGAACCACTTTTATGTAATGAAGTCACCACCATTTTTTTCAAATGGAACTCCCCTTTTTTTCGATTTCCGAATTGCCCTTGCTGAGCTGATTCCAAAAATGTATGATATTAAGATTATGTCTCGTTGAATATTGTCATCATGTTTTGGTCTACCTCTCTTTGCTGCATCCCTTACATGTCCTAATTCTCTGTATTTTCGCTCTATTCTGCCTACCGTAGATTGTGCAATAGGTTCATGATCTGGGTGCATTTCATGGAATAATCGGCATACCTCTTGTTGAGTCCGCATCTTATCGCCAATAACAATCATCATTAATATTTCAATCCTATCACTTTCGGTTGAAGGCATTTTGTAAAAAAAGTTCACGAACGTACCTTCTCTGAAGTGTTAACAATACAAAACTGTGTTTCAATGTTTCTGACAGTTTTTAGTCAAATGAAGAGAATGATGAAAAATATTGTCAAATAAAAAGATTTTTGTAGTTCACGGGCTTGGATGACTAATAAAAGCTGTTAGATACAATTATCAAGAATGATGCTGGATGTCTTGGATAGTTTATCAAAGTAGTTGTGAAGCAATACGTGATTTTATTCAATGTGTTTATTACGTTTATTCTTCATTTATTACTTTGTAAATAAATTTTTACATTTTTGCCCACCCTGTACCAATTTGAAGCAACATATTATACATTTTTGGAATCAGCTCAGCAAAGGCAATCCGGAAATTGAAAAAAAGGAGGGTTCCATTTGAAAGGAAATGTTGATGACGTCATTTCACGAAAGTGATTCACCCTGTTTATTAGATTATGATTTGAAACAATAGTGAATTGAAATCAAAAATCAACATGTTTCGGGAATTTTTAATTTTATTGTTCATTTAGCCAATAATGAATTTATGCGTTACTTTATGGACGCATGTATAGGCCAAACCAGGCGACCCATAAAAACAAGGTTCAAAGAACACATAGCACATTTGAAATATGGCAGGTTAGATGAATCGTGTGTAGCCGAACATAAGTTCAATCACAATCATAACACACATATTACTAACCTCAAATTAGTTAAGCAAGTTGATAATATTAGAGAATTAGACGCATATGAAAGCTTAGAGATATTCAAAAATAGTAATAGAGTAATAAATCAGGATAATGGACCTATTCCATATAGCCCTCTTTATAGTTTAGTGATATAAAAATTAAGATCAACATGTGGGTGAACATAAACCTATTATACAGGGTGAGTCATAACTATTGGGACATAGGCTAAGGGCGGATTGTTTGGACCAAAATATGGTGATAGCACCAAATATGGCTCAATGAAATATTGCTGTGGAAAACGATACAGGGCATTTCAATCGAAAAAGTTCTGACTATAAACTCGTACCAAAATTCATCAAATGACATGAAAGTAATTCACCAGCAAAAAATTATTTGACAGTCCAAAGCACACTCTTCATAATAATTGAAACAATATTAGAAATCCCCTTCCGAGACTTTGAACTGTTCAATTGCGTTTTTCTCGAAAACGGCTGATAGTATCGTTTCAAAACAAGTGTACCAATATTACGTAGAAATTATGTTTATGTCATATTTTCTCATCAAAATCACTAAAAAGTTTCAGCAAAAAAAGTTATCAGTCGATTTCATCATTAGGAATCATTAACGTTCCGCCCCTTGTAACAAACTGTAGAATAATACATGAACTAATATTCCCTGTATAGAATTATGCCTCTACCGATTTTGATAATAATTGATGAATATACAGTGAAATTATTAACAAAAACGAAAAAAAAATTCAACCACAGCAATATTTTATTGAGGCATATTCGGTCCTATCGACATATTTTGGTCCAAACAATCCGCCCTCAGTCTATGTCCCGATAGTTATGACTCACCCTGAATCAGCAGCACACTAGAATAGGATATTTAATTCCAATCTTCTCCTGAAGATGCTAACATAGTTAGCGTGCCAAAGGTTCCAGTCTTCGATATAACAAGTTTTTGTTCATAAAAGTGTGGCTCAAAATTCTAGTTTCCCATTCACATTAATATTCTTGATATGCTGTTGAAACTTTCAGGTTCGCCACCAAAATCATCCCTCGCTCAGTGTTGACGACCGGGGTTGGATCTACAGCGGCAGGGTTGACTGTAACCGCTACCATGGTAAGTACCTATTATTCTGGTCCATGATGGGCCTGTTTCAGTGAAAAATGGTATTTCATTCGAAAGGAAGAAGGAGAGCTCAAAGTTATCTCCACCAAAAATACTGTCTGTAGGTTAATCGAGGAGGTGGTACATTCATTTCACTTGATTCTTTGGGATTTTCTCTCCTCGTTTCTATGAAATAAAAATATTCGTATTATTTCAATATATTTGTAGTGGGACAAATCAGATGATTTGCCCCAAAATGTCACTGCGTTTAACAAATTTTTCTATCAGGGAGTCTAAAAGAAAAATCCAGTAGCTTGTCAGTGACAATTTGTTTGAAAAATTTTTTGAAGGAAAGAAATATAGATATATTGAAAAAATATCGAATCTACTTATCTTTGGACGTTTCTGAACCGAATCTGCTCCCGTTCTCAACATGAAAATGCAAAATATTCCTCTTTGGAAGTTGTGCTGCTTATAGTTTGACAGTTTTCAGTGTCATACTGATGTTGACATATGAATGAGTGATTTTAGTCTACAAATGAGTGACAGGATTCTTTCATTAATTGATCTCGAATCTACCATTTTCATGTTCATTTTTCGATAGTGAATACCATGTTCTATCTTTATCAACTGAACAGGAAGAAATGCTATTGTCTCCGTTCAGAAGAATGAAAGCGGATTCCTTGATTTTTCTTTTTTGGTTGTTATCTTTCTTTCCTATTATTTTGATATTTTATTCCACTCTGCCATATGTTGTCCATCTTCAGTGAGGATATGTTCAGTTAGCTTCGATTTATCGATATGTCTTTTCTTCATATTGTACTTGTGTTCTTTAGTCCTTACTGAGAGAGGCCTTTTCGTTTCACCTGTATAATACTTTCCACAAACAGCACGAGGTACACTATAAAATAAAAAAATCAAGGAATTCGCTTGCATTATTTTGAACGGGGACAGCATTGCTTCCTGTGCAGTTGAAAATGAACATGAAAATGGTAGATTCAAAATCAATTAATGAAAACATCCTGTAACTCATTTGTAGACTAAAATCACTCATTTATATGCCATCAGTATGACACTGGAAACTGTCAAACGATAAGCAGCACAACTTCCGAGACAACTTCCAAAGAGAAATATTTTGCATTTTCATGTTGAGAACTGGAGCAGATTCGGTCGTGAAACGTCCAAAGATAAGTAAAGATTCGATATTATTTCAATATATCTATATTCATTCGGGGGCAAATCATCTGATTTGTCTCACTACATATATATTGATATATTTTTTCTCAACCCCCTTTATTCACCAATATAACCACGATATCATGATGACAGACACCAGCATCCAATTTGAAATAATGTTAAAGCTCCATGTTGGTCAACTTTTGGTTATTTAAAATATGTATGTTTTCACATGCCTTTGCTTGTAGTAACTTCTAAAAACGGCTGAAGATGGACTTTTATAAGACCGAAACATGTCCTCTTGATTGATTTACATCAACAATAAAGTAGTAGAGATGACTTTGAGCTATCCTTCTTCCTTTTGAAAAATTCCACTCCACTTTGGGCAAACATATAGACTTGTACTAACGGTGTTATTTCATTATTTCGTGTTTTCCTCAGAGCTCTGTAACTTTTTCAAATAGTTGTTATTGAAATTCGCAATATTTCATAACATAAAAAACGCGGGAAAACGCGTGACATAAATCATCCGAGAACACCATAAAAGATTCCATACTCACGTATCAATTTTACTGAAGCATCTTGCAAGTATAAAAGTATTCAATAAGTTATTTTCTTCGGTGAATGTGAATACTATTGTAAATTGTAATTGGTTATGATGAATTTCATAAGGTAATTACTAGTTACAAATCTGGCAGCGTCGAAATATGTGGTCCCACTTTCTTTGCGGAAGCCAGAATTGGTAATAAAAAATAGGCAAGGACTCATGGAATAGGTATGACGGAAATTCGGTATCCAATCGGAGAATCGGATGTTTTTCCACGTTCATCGTTTGTATACAGGGTGTTTCTTGAGTATGTGTAGAAAATTCAGGAGCATGTTGCTGACGTCAAAATAAGTAGAAAAGTTCGTATAAATATGTGTCCGGAAGTTCTTTGTTTCTGAAATACAGACCCTAATAACACAATAACATAATATGTAAGACGTCGTAGAAACATCCATATGGGATGATAGGAACATCTCTGGAAAATCCCTATTTTCCTTGGGACATTCTTCGGATGTTGCTGGCAACACCCTTGTCAGCATTTGCGATGTCTTATAAACATCCCATCAGAATGTTTGTGGGATGCATGATGAAAATAGACTGGTGCAACCACTTGTCAATTGTTTCTTTCCAAAACGTGTAGACCGCGAAACACCGTAGCAAGGCCGCACCGGATTGACTGTAGATGGCGTAGGGAACATCGTGCCACATATACTTCACAGATATAATGAAAATTTCACGTCTTTTCCATTAAATCAATCACTTTTTCTCAATGTTTTTGAATTACGAATTAATATACGTAAATGTAAACAACAAAACAAAACAACCATTGTGTAGCAAGATCACTTCGGAAACAGCGCCATCTAGCGTTAGTTTTGCGCGGCCTTACTACGGTGATAAAATTCGACATAATCAAGTAGGCCAGAGGTCTACAAAAATTTCTAAGGTTTTGTAAGAGGGAGCTATTTCACCATACATATATCCACCTTTGTGGGATGATACGGGATGTACCAGAGACATTCAGGGTACTTGATATGGAACATCTTAAAGAAACTTCTAGGATGTTTTTTGTTTGATGACAGTAATGGATGACACGGTATGAATAATTTTCAATCTGAAATCCTGAAAATGGACGATCTATTTCCAGATGCAAAATAACAATCCGAATCCGAAAATATAAGGTCGGTGCGGTCCAATAACTAATGGAAGATGATAACAGTTGTTTGAGGCTCATATTTGTTGGCGCTGGGCCGACGGCTGTTAGTAACTCTTAGCAACGTAGTTGTACCGCCATCTATCGGCTGGTATAACAAATAAATTCAGCAATAAATATGCTGGAGAGATATATTTCAATTTTGTCGTTTATTACATGGTTCATGATGTTAAACAGGTACTTTGGTAATCCTATTGAGGAATATTCAGTATAATTATTTCAATTTGTTATCGATGATATTAGCCGGTTTTGGTATAGGTATGAGTATATGAGTACGAATACAGTTTTGATTTCCATTTTTTACCAACTCTTCAATGTTTCAAATGTCACAATTGTTTGAACTATTCAATCATGTCAATCATCATTAGCGAATATGGAACCATGATATTGTTTATAAAAAAAAGATCAAATGGGATGTTTCTAGAACATCCTCTGATGAATGTCCCAAGAGAAACATCTCTGGGATATCGTACCAAAGTCTGAAACATTGGGACATTTGTAGAACCTTAGCGGGATGTACCAGCAAGATCCCGTGTTGTTAGGGGAGTGTTCAAGTTGAATTCTTATTTTTGTTTTCTGTTGATGAATTTCGAAATAATTGTGGTATTCGAATAAAGTTTGGTATCTAGGGGTATTTTTCAATGACACTATCAAATTTTATGTTGGTTTGTCTGTTTCGTGTCTACATGTCTTTAGAGTCTTTTGAACAGTCACAACTTTTTTGTGCGTACCTGTATCACGTATTATAGTAGGAAAATAGATTTCTAGAACACTTTTCTGTAAAAAATATATTTCTGGTAGAGGTCGCTTCGAGCAACTGTTTTCGAGTAATTGGAATTTGAAATAATCGATGCATTTGAATCATCTCCATAGGGATCGTTAGTTGCCTTCAAGTAGTAAATATCAGAAAATATACGTCAGTGCGTTTTTCTTCTTTCATTCAATATTCTCCCACATTCAACATTGGAATATCGGCAAAAGATGATTCTTACTTCGTTGTGCCTACTTTTACTATTATCATTATTATTATTATTATATTATTTTTGGCCAGCCAGAATTGTTTGCTGGGTAACTACTTCCGTAAGTCTGTAGATTTATTTCTTCAGGAACAAGGCGAATGGCACCTGGAAGGTGGCGCTTTGGTGATGGCCGATGGCGGAATTTGCTGCATTGACGAATTCAATTCGATGAAGGAGCACGACCGAACCACCATTCACGAGGCCATGGAACAACAAACCATCAGTGTTGCCAAGGTTAGTTTCAGAAAAAAAAAATTTGATTTGAGTAAAAACTGAATATAAAGTGTAGGGCTGTATTTGAAAAAACAAAGTTGATGATGGCAACTCAAAGATGAAACGTCGGTATAAAAAACTAATATCATCTTGTAGAAAAGAAAACGTGACTATGAGAATGTGAAATTTGTTTTGTTGAATACAGTGATCTACTCACCGGCAAAAAAACCTGCTACCAAAAAACTTAGGCAAATTGTTCGCCCAGTAACTTTTTTAATTTTTGTCCGATTATGTTGAAATTTCGACCAAATCGTATATTCATGTTTCGGATTGTTAGCCTGAATATTCAGTCCTTTGAAAAGGATGGCTTCATCATTATACAGGGCATAACAAAAGGTACTCTTTCACCCTTTACTTCTTAACGCAGAGGTGAGTGGTTGAACTTGACTTCATTTTATTTTGGGCTGAAGTATCATCCCTTCTTAACACAATAGTTTTCGATTCAGAACGATAAACACATATCTGATTTGTCCTAACTACACGTATATTGAAATATAGTATTCATATATTTTCCCCCCGAAAAATCTGGAATAATGGGTGACATCTTGTTTGTAAAATGGATGGAGAAGAAATGAATATAGATGGATTTAAAGAATTCTAAAATTTCACTTATCTTTGGATGCTTATGGAACGAATCTGCTCCTGTTATCAATACTAAAATGCAAAATTATTCTTGATATTATTTTTATCGTTTTCGGTCCTTGACACTTCATGAATTTATCGAAACAAATGGAAAATTTTCACTTTTTCCTGTCATTGCAATACATCTTGATTACTTGAACTACCTCTTCGAATTGAGGAAGCACACTCCATTAGTATAATTATGTTCTCGAGTTTCGAAATAATTTTTATACAGTTTGCCAACAAAAAAATCATATATCGCCAATATTTGAGACCTCGTTGGTATCAGAAAAAATAATCGACTTCGACAAAGAAGAGATCTACATCGTTCTATTTGAAGTTTTTTATCTTGGTTTTTTCATGTATATCCAAAAACAATATTTATCATGCATTTTTCGTTTCAGGCCGGTATTGTTGCCAAACTGAACACGCGTTGTTCGATTTTAGCAGCTTGCAACCCAAAAGGTAACAATTTTTCCAAAATTTCAAAGTTATTTTCGGAAATAAGATTAATATTGGGACGAATATCATTCCATCATGTTGAATGAAGATTATTTTTAATCACAAACGATGATAATAATATGGACTCTTTGTGAATCGATTCAAATGATACACCGTTAATGGGCGTGTACACCTTAGTAGAACTTTTAACTCAGACCATGTTTATAATGCTCGTTTAATACATGAATAATGATTGTCATAATTCGATAGAAAAATTAACTGGAATGTTTTATTTTTGGACATAAATAATAGTACCTTCTGAAAACGGACCCTCTTATGACGTAGAAACCTCATCTCGCCATAGTTAAAAGAAAATACCAAACGCCCGACGGAGACTGAGGGAACTGATATAATAATTCTTTCAACTGTGATCTCGCGCTAATTCACTCTGTCAGAAATCTTGTATCATTCATCTCTGTCTGGAATAGTCTTGTTTCAGTAATAGGGTTTTGACGTCACATCATCGCCTCGTTTTCAGAGGTCCGAAAAATCGGGGATTTCAATAATTTATTATAAAACGTAGGAAGCTCAGAGCAAGAAACGGTTTGCGGTGGTGAGCTGGTTTGGGTGAGTTCCATCGAATTATGAAATAGAAATTCTTTGTGATATAAGCCCATTTCAGGAGACTGAAAGCTCTAGAAATCCATAATAAAAAATCCAGGGCCTTATTTGATAAAACAAAGTTGATGATGGGAGCTCAAAGACGAAACGTCGGAAAATCTGAAAACACCATCGTATAGAACAAAAGAAGTAGCAATGAGAATGTGGAATTTGTTTCTTCTACAAACGTCAAAAAATGACGGTTCGCACATTGATAACAAATTGCGAAGCACTTTTATCCAGTTTCCTATATGTTACCACGACACCATGTGCGAAGCAGTGTGCGAAGTATAATGATGCTCGAAGTACATACTTCGCGCATTGTATATGTAAACTATATATGAGATTTTTATATTTCAACTTGGTTCTCAATCGAGCAATCATCCAAGAAATTAGACATTTCTGAATATTTAACTGTTGTAAAACAGTGGTTTTGATAAAGCATCAAAAACTGCTATGACCAGTGTTTTATTCTGTCTTCCTTTTTGGAATAGTTTCAATTTTTTTTTCTGCGACGGGAAAAAAGTTTGGCATTTCATCTCTGTTGGCAGGTTATAAAATTTCACTTTTCATAAATTACTTTTTTCCCGTGGGAGAAAAATGAGTACTTTTTTCTCGGATATACAGGCTGTTTCACAGGTAAAGGGAAATATTTCAGTGGTACATATAGGGGTCACCAAGGTGATTATGAAAATACCGTATTTGATAGATCTTAGAGTCTTCATAACGGAGATACAGGGCGATTTATCGATTTTGAATAATTATTCATTCACACAAAGACTGTGACACTTAGTAGTAAGTTATTTCGAGCGATCATTTAACTAAAATATATCAAATAATTATAATCAAAACTGGTTTTATAATTTTGATACTCTTCAAATTGACATACTTTCAACTTTCTGTTTATGATTGTTACGATGAGAATTGGTGGCAAAAAATCAAATGAATAAAATCCAATTCAGTTTTTCCTCCTCTTCACGATTCCTTTGATGAATTCTGATAATTATTACTTACAGTGTGTCATTTCAATATTTCGAATAAATGTAAATTTTTCCTGATGCCGAACCTGGACTTTCTGCCCGATAGGTGAATAAATTTAACGTCCCAAGTATAAGCTATCCTTACTCAATTTGAGAAAAATATACTGGGTAGGTCAATACATATAGACGAATGAATAATTATTCGAAATCGATAAATCGCCCTGTATCTCCGTTATGAAGACTCTAAGACCTATCAAAAATGGTATTTTCAGAACCACCTTGGTGACCCCTATCTACCATTGAAATATTTCCATTTACCTATGAAACACCCTGTATACACTGTTGATGGCTTTTGTTGTGCTATAGTTCCGAAAAATGAGTCAATAATACTGTCTCCGAGAAAAAACTGCAAGTCCTTTTATCTTCCATTTGACTTCGCGGTTACGTATATTACTAAACAACCACTAAATTCGCAATTTTTCGAAATAAAACACAGAATTTGACTGACAGAAGTGACATCAGATATTTGATTACTTCATAAGAATGATAAAGATGCCAACAACGCAGGTGTCTCTACTGTTAAGAACTTAAAATTTCACAACGATAATTTTCAGATTTCAAAATAATGTAATATCTTCCCAATATTGATTTGCCCTTTTTTCTGTCACAGAAAAAAATTGTGTATTATACACGGGAAAAATATTAGATTCTAGCTCACGGTTTTTCGCTGGAGCTAAAATCTACTACTTTTTTCCCTTGTATAATAAATAACTATCTCTAGAAATGATAATTATGGCAAAACAATGTTTGCCTGGTCAGCTTTTTTTCATATTAATATTTTGTGTAATTGGGTATCACCACAGGTAACATAGACCCATCGCAATCGGTGGCCATGAACGTCGCGTTGCCCAGCCCGTTGCTGAGCCGCTTCGATCTGATCCTGATGCTCAGAGACGTGGTCGACGACGAGTGGGACGAAAGGGTGGCCGACTACATTCTCAACGGCGGACACGAATTCTCCAAGTTGACCGACAGCGGTCTGTGGACTGTGGATGTCTTACAAGTAAGTTCATTTATTATTTTATGCACTATCGGGCCGTAGAGTGCACTTTACCGCCCGGTTTTGCGGGCGTTAAGTGGCACTTTACCACCCGCGGGCTCATTATGGCCCACGGGCCGTAAAGTACACTTTACCGCCCGCTGTTCTCACTCACCTTATATCCACAATATCCACATATCAATTTATGAAAAACCTATGATCATATTCCTAGATTCTGATATATCCAGCGGTATAATAATAATATAATAATAATAATTTATTGCACTTAAATTACATATTACAAACATAACAAATACATTGGTAATATATACAAGCCAGTCACAGAACATTCAGAAATAGGGCGAAAAATTAATACATAATATAATATAATATAAAACATTTATAGTGAGGATGCAAAATTTAAGTATTCTGAACCTACTGCACTATCCAGGCACTGCTCAAAATAATCATTCAAGGAATAAGGTTCCAGATTACATAAGAAGTTAAGTATAGGCTTCTTCACTAGTTGAAAATTTTCTTTCAGTTTTATGTGTGTTGGTAAAAAATGATTAAATAATTTTATACAGGAGTATAGAGCACCTTTCTCAAAACAGGCTAACCTATGATATGGAATATTGTAATTTGAGATGTTTTTAGTACTATAGTTATGAGTTATATTGAATTGTAGGAAATATGGCCTATTTTTGAACACAAATTTAATACACTCATATATGTACAATACTGGAACAGTAAGTAAATCTAGGGAGCTGAAGTGAGTTTTACAAGAAGTGAGATAACTCAACTTTTTGATTATTCGAATAGCTCGCTTTTGAATTGTGAAAATATTTAAGGCTTCACTGCTTCCTCCCCAGAGAATGATGCCATAACGTGCCCTTGAATAGAAGCTTGCATAGTAAAAAGTTTTAACAATGTTGATATTTGTGTTATTCGACAGTATTCTGAGGCCAAAACAAGACCGGTTGAGTTCCTTACTGAGGAAATTGATGTGGGAGGAAAAACTCAGGGTTTCATCAAGAAATACACCCAAACACTTGATTTCTGTGGAAAATTGTATTTTATGTTGATTGAGAATGATATTGTCTGGGGTTTCAGGCCCACGTGTTGTTTTGAAAAACACTGCTTTAGTTTTGTCAGGATTTAGTATTAATTTTGAATTCAAGAACCAATTTTCTATGTTAACCATGAGTGAATTACCATTAAGCGTTAGTTGAGGAAAATTTGAAGCGGTAAATAACAATGTAGCATCATCTGCATAGTTAATGACAGTTTGATCTCGTTCGGCAATTGATAAGAGATCATTGATGTAGATGATGAATATGAGTGGCCCTAATACGCTGCCCTGCGGCATCCGATTCCATAGTCTCGCTATTATTATTATCACTAATTTTACTTTTCAATCAAAGAATGACAATTCAGCTCGTTCATTGGATGTATTGCTATAGACAACAACCATCAGATTGATTGACAACGTCAAAATAAGTTAGGTTTATATACTGGGTATGCATATATTGTAAAATTCTGAAGAATGAATCTCTTCTAGAGCTGAAAGAGTTTTACTATTACGATAATTGCAATATTCGTACGATAATTCTCATATGTAAATCATCCATGAACATTACGCTTCTCTTGATTACTGAATTTATACGTAACAAATTAAATTCTGGGGAATATTAGTTTATCGAAATCTGTAGTCATTACTTATGAGTCAAAAAATAAACCACTAGTGCATAAAATTTTGTATGTATCTCGTGCGTGAAATGCGTTTATGGCCTTCAGCGTGTAATGGCCCTCGGCTAGCGCCATCGGGCCATTATTCACGCCACAGGCCATAAACGCCTACTTTACGCCCTTGATACATAAATAACTATTATGCACTAGCGGGCCGTAGAGTGCACTTTACCGCCAGGTTTTGTGTGTAATGGCCCTCGGCTAGCGCCATCGGGCCATTATTCACGCCACAGGCCATAAACGCCTACTTTACGCCCTTGATACATAGATAACTATTATGCACTAGCGAGCCGTAGAGTGCACTTTACCGCCCGGTTTTGCGGGCGTTAAGTTGCACTTTACCGCCGCTGTTCACAGTTTCCTTAATAATGCGTGTAAGGGCCCTCGGCTAGCGCCATCGGGCCATTATCCACGCCACAGGCAATGAACGCCTACTTAACGCCCTTGATACTTAAATAACTGATGAGTATTTCGACTGACTATTTTTCATCGATTTCAATAAAATTACACAAACAGAAATATCCTTTCCGCCCGGTAGTTTCATTTGGCACAGCTCCTTCAGTATTTCAAGTACTCTGGTGCAAAATTTGAACCACGAATTTTTTGGAGTTAGAAGTTATGCTGGGACAAAATACCCAAGTAATATTTTAAATGCCTAATAACTTCGATGATACTTTAAAAAGGTTATGTGAGCGCAAATGATAGGTCTAATTTGTTCTATCGTTCTATGAATGCCCTGGAAAAAGCAAATTGACCTCCATGTCCATATAATAATCCTATTGAAAGGTTTCGAGATACTATATGATAGAACTATCGCATGAAACAATTTGGCATTCAGCTCACTTCGATTTTAAGAGAGCTCTGTGAATGTCATTAAAATTCTTTATCAAAACTACACTCAGTTCCAAAAAAAGTGACGCACTTGATATTTGACTTATCTTCTTGAAAAAAAAAAAAAAGTAGGCCGATTTTTTGTTTTGTTTTATTTGTTGGTAGGTAATGCATTTGTCTTTTAGAAAAAAATAAAGAGGTGAAAATGTTTTCAAAGCCTCCTTGATGGTGGTGGAATAACTCGAACCATGATTTATTCTTGATTTTTTACTCACCCTGTGTGTTAATTGAGTAATGGTATACAAAGTGCTTACACCCTATACGAAAGAGGCTTCTTTTGCGAGCATTTTGTTTTTTTATTCATTGATTTATCTCTAAAATTTTCCGAATTACAGCTTTTTTCGCTGAATCCTTGCAGATTACCAACTCTCTGAATTTATCGAGAAATTATTTTCTAATGAAATAAACCGATACCAACAATTTTAAAAAACATTTTTATCAAACACAAAATTATAAATTGGGATATGACTGCTCAATACCGTGTATACAGGAGAAAAAGCGTACTCAAAGTCGGTCGACCACAATATTCAATATGAAATCAATCAGTGTGTGACTATATTTTCTGCTCTACGGCCATCTTCAGACACAATGAAAAAAGTACCTAGAAAGTTACAAGTAGTACAGATATAATACAAAATGGTAGCTGAAGAAGAGTTGAAATACCTCTTATGTAGAATACATCTTAACAATAAAAAAAAAAATCCCGTCGTTATAACCAGAGATCAATCCAGCCTCGCACTCAACAAAATTTGTAACGGCTGAAAAGCCAAAAGAGCTTCACTATAAATGAGTTCAGCATCGGGAAAAAATGGAAAATTAGATTTTTCGAAATCTACTCAATTGAGTTTCATATAACTGCAATCAAACCAGACTGCCCAATGAGGACCATAATATAAATGTTCGTATTTTGGCCTACAACGATTCACGTTGAAATAAACTCACAAGAAAATAAATGGTCTAAAGACAAGATAAATGGCAACTTCAAGCGAAAAAATGAAGAAAACTACTTGAAAACCAAAAATCAAGTCGTGAGAGCAACAGTAAATCGGAATTCTTAAGCCCAAGCAATTCCAAACACTGCGTCTTCCAACTGAAACCAACAAATAGCAAGAATTCAATAGAACCTGATGTTCATGAAGTACCATCAATGAGTCAGAACGTAAATACTTCTGATATATTTGAATGGGAACTAGGAGGCGAGGAAGATGACAACAGTTTTGCACATATTATGTCAGATGGCGAGTTTTGCAAGAATTTAAGAGAATGGATCATTCAACACAATATCAGGCAAACTGCACTGAGTAACTAGCGTCTAGCGCAAGGAGGTATTTGTATAAACAACGTAGTGGGAGAACCGCGCAAGCGAGACGTGGACGCGGACAAACATCACCTATGCCTTCACCTATCGACATGCCCGACGAACGTTGGAGCGAAGGAATATATATAACAGTATGATGCAAATGTATGGAATAAATTCATTTCAAAACAAGACGACTTCCAAAAAAAATCCAAAAAGTAGAGTTCAGAACTTTTTTATCGATGTATTTTTTCAACTAGACGACCCTTCGATGTTCAATTCTCAGTAGAAGATCTCTGCAAGATTCAGTTAACCAAATGATAATCCATTTTAATTTCAATCTTCTTTTGCAAAATTTCGACTATTGGATAGACGATCAGTAGACCTTTCAAACGAGGTGTCACATGACCCCTGTTTGTATTTAAAAAAACCGTCCATTACGTCATTACTCCAACACCGGTGACGTAACATCTCTCATATGAATGTCATGAGATGAGGTTTCAAAAATTAAAACACGTGTTTTTGGAATATCTTCAAATGTCGCCCATTTCTGAAATAATGAATTTATTCCATACATTTGCATCATACTGTATATAGAACTTCACATTTTCTCCAGATACTCTCTGCGATGACCACGTCATTCTGACCATCTACCAATTTTGGATTTTCAAATGGAATAATACATTCTGTATATTATTCTATCACTGATTATGGGTTATACCATTACGATACCATGCACAAATATACTGACAATTTATCAACTTACTTGCCATTATCACTAGTCTTATTATTAGTAATTAATTAAAGAAAGAATCATATATTCAGTTTCTTTATTCATGATGTAAACTTAAATGCTTAAAGAATAATATTGTATTTTCTGTAGTAGTCCATGCTCAAAGTGGAGTGGAATGATCGATAGAGAAAAAACCCAAAGTCGTCTCCACAATTTTTAATGTATAATCAGGCAGTCAATCCTGCTTCATTAAGGTTGATACATGTTTCGGCCATTCAAATGGCCATCTTCAGTCAAAAGAATATAACAAAGTGTATCTACAATAGAAAACCGAACATGATTTTTTATATAAGA